GGCTCCCTTCTCACACACAGTTGAGGGCAATAGGTGCTAGATTTAACAGATCCTTGAGGCAGATCATCAAGGTGCCTTCTTTACAAAAGACTTCCCTCTGGTGAAGGGACAGTTTCTCTCTCTCAGAAAAGCTTGCAGATGTGCAAAGAAGAGCTTTCACCACCTCAGCATTTCCTGGCCCTAGCAGTCCAAAAACACCGAGAAAAGGAGCACCTCTGCACTGCCTGTAATCCACAGACCCCGCATGCTTAGGGGACTTGATAAGAGACAAAAAGAAAAAAAAAAAACCACCCAGCTACTCAGAAACCACAAAGAGATTCTTAAGAAAGGAAACGGTGGCTGATAGACACTCTGAAATGGAAGTGCAGCACAGTAACCCACTTGCTGCGTTTCTGCAGACAACTGTACACACTCCTGAAGTCCAAATTTGTGCTATGGAAATTGTATGTGATAACGAGCAGCTCTGGTACGATGTGCTCTCTGTAGAGGTAAAACAAATACAGGAGTTCGTTCCTGGTGCTACAGAGCCAAGATCCAGCATCTGAGCTGCACACTGCTGTTTCAGGGGCTGATTTGGCGAGTATGGGGGGGCAGTGCAGCACAACGCTTCCTACAAAGTCCATTTGCAATCCATGCGCTACTGAAGATGGTAAAGAAATGACAAATTCACAGTTAAGATAGGACAGAGACCGGATAAAACAGGACCTTGTCTCGGATGTTTGGGGTTTGTTTCATCTCCTCCCTGCACCCTTCACGTGTGGCCCACAGTACTTAGCGGGGCGCTCCTTTGCAAGCCTGTTCTCAAAACTGGCTCCTGTGTGCTGCAGTTTTAAATGTCAATGTTGACTTAAAAGCAGAATTTCTACTTTTAAAACGCTTTCTCTTACAGTCCTCTGTACTGCATATAGCTGCACTGACCAACTCAAACATCTCACTGAACGCCTGTTCAAGAAGAAAATACTCCCAGTAAGAAGCTGTTTAAGAAGTTTTGCGGACAGCAGCAATAGCAAACAACAGGACATGCTTCCAGCCAGTGAAATCACAGCACTGAACTAGTTAGCAGTGCCTTGGAACTTCACAAGCCCACGAAACCGTGTGCACGTGTAAGTTTTGTAACACCCATTAGATAGAGAACAACTATTCATAAAGAATTTTAAGTAGTAAATACAAGAGGTAGCCCTTAATCAACACGATCTCACCCTCACCTTTTGCTGTGGTAGATGCAAACCAGCTCCACAAGCACCAGAATTAATGAAACACAGTGATGAGGCATTCATCTTTACGAACTCGCTGACTTTGGTGTCAAAATAAGGTCTAGATTAATTTTTTCCACCATTGAGACACAGATAAAATATTCAGTTCTGAGCAAGTTCTCTAAACCCCCAACATCAAGGCATTGCAGCTGGGCACCGAGATGGCTGGCGAGATTGCAGAGGTACTTTTACAAGTGCATAGGAACTCCATCATCTCAGAAATTCAACCCAATTTGAGAGGTGGGTAGAAATTAGCCAACAGCACACAGACAGGATCTTCTGTGGCTGCTCAAACCTTAGGAAAATTCAGTGAAGAAAACAGCTGGAGTTAACTTGCTCAGTATGCAAGTCTATTTTTAGAACGAAAATGTTTCTTCCTCAATTAGATTACTCACGACTACCCAAACGCCTGCAATATATATCCAGTATAATTTTTATCCAACCTTTGTAATTAATCGCATCAACTCTCAAAATATCCAGCTTTCATTTTGTGGTAGATTCTCTCCTTGGGAAAAATAGATATCAAAGAATTAAATACTGATTACGCTGAAGAGTAACCAACATCCCAGCCCTGCATCAGGATTGGCCAAACAACACCTTCCAGAAAAGCGAGAAAACCAACCTTTTTCAACATCTTGTTCTGTTTGTGGAAGAATTCCACTTTGATATCACCGCATACCGGCAAAGGTTGAGGGAATTCAAAGTACATATACTTGTCTTCACGTCTTGAGGGTCCTGAAGGGGAGGTGAATATCTTTACCTTTAGCTGGTACACCACAAACTGAGGATCTGCATGGCAAAACAGAGCATCACTTCGTAAGAAAGGCCTTAAAGCATCAAAAAGCACAATTAGTGTCAGAATCACAATCGTGAGCCACGGTATTTTGGAAGTTAAATATCAGTTAAGAGTTAAGCACCGCAGGCCATCAAACTTTGCTAGATGTTAGGGGAAACAACCAAACGTATTTCCATCCTTTGTGGCAATGCTCAGGCAACCAGAGGGCTCCTAGACCACTGCTGTTTCTTTTTAATATCGTACGAAATGACTACATGGAGTGACAACTCCTTGACTTTTCCTTGCGTACCGCCTCGCAGCTCTGTACGAAGCGGACATAACTGAGGAGTTTTATTCTCTCTCCTCTCCTCCAAACTGCAGTGGGCGGTCGTGTCAGCACAAACCAATTTCTGCTCTTACACAGAAACAACTGTTGCACAAACAAAAAAGACAAAATTTAGCATTAATACACAAACCACCCAGCACCAACAGACTACGCAGGACACAGGCTGTCTGTCCTGTAAGTGACCATCACCAAAAGGGTCAGCCGCAGCACAACTTTCCAAATTAAATCTGCAGAGTTAATTACCAGCAGAAATAATGAAGGTTTTTTGGTGCAGCCCAAGCAGGTTTTCTTTGGAAATTGCCAGACACCAGCATGACAGCCAGAAATATTAAATTAAACTTATTTGAAGAATTCTTTCTGCGTTCGCTCCTGGCTTCTCTGTCGGTCAGAGGCAGACTGCCCTCTGGACAACAGACCGACCCCTACCCTGCCCAGGGCGCACAGCCACCCCCGCCGAGCTGCGCAAGCCCCCGCCGAGCGTACCCACGCTGCCTTGCTGATGGCCTAGCCATGAAATGGCTACTTATCTCCCCCAAATCCCCAGAGCTGTGAAACCCCGTCACCCCTTCATTTTGCCCAAGCAGCATGACTCTGCTCAGTCAGTGGCTCCAGAGCAGAAGGAGGATCACAAGGAAGTCAGGTTGGAAGTTATCATGTGTCGGTAGAACTACCGCATCACAGTAGGTAACACAACTAAAGGGGTAACACAGACCTTTGGTTTCACATTCAGGAAAAATCACTGAAAACTAAGAAACATAAAATACTGCAGCACACCAAGATGCTGAGGTTGATGCTCTATCCTAGAAAACCTTTTGTTTACCCCAGTGTCCAACCGTGGCAATAGCACGCGTGTCCCGGTACGGACACACACGTTGGTGCTCACGCAAGCGATTCATACTCATAGCTTGATTTCGCAAGCATAGCACAGTTTATCCAAAACTTTAAATGAGTGGTAATTGCAGAAATCTGTAACCTCCACATCTCTACCCTAGAGGCAGAGGGTTTTTGGCAGAGGCTCCTCCCTTCCTCCTCCTCCGTAAATACAGCCAGCCTGACGAGTCACTTGATTATTTCTTATAGATGTTACATGTTCAGGTACCGTCTTAAAACAGTATTAATAGTGCTCTTTTAATCAAAGCCACAGGAGGCACTGGAATTAATTACGCATTGCCGTAATCCCCATAGCCAAACCATTAGAGAGATTTTTTCCACTAACAAAAACTGAACACGCAACACCAGGCGGTTACCACCCCGTGACACAGCCCACAGCAGGACAGAAGCGAATTCATATCCACACTTCAAAGTTTTAAGGAATCTGCTGTTCCCTACTAACACACTGCGGATCAGCAAAACAGATTAATCATTTACAGGTGTATTAATACTTTATAGGCCTCCATATAAAGAAAAGCGTATTCCAGAGTTAATTAGATTATTTACCCAGTTGAACCGAATTGTTTTTTTTTTTTTTAAACATCATGGGAAGAATGGTGTTGGTGCACATGAAGCCAACACACCAGTAAGCAAATGTTTTTCCGCAATTCATGTTTCCCAAGAATTGCTATATTAAAAAAAAAAAAAAAAAAAGACTTTTTATAAAAGGAGCAAATATCCACAAAAAAAAATAATATATGGCATCACTTATCTTCAAACTGCTAAATACTTCCCAATTTAAACCTATAGTGGAACAACCACACGAGTCCTTCCTTCCCAGACCTCAGCTTACTAGACCCGGAGGACGCTAGCGGACAGACCACACTACCCCAGCAGATCCTGGAACATGAAGATGCGCAGCGCTCCGTGTCACGTCACAGAACGGTAACCGTCACACACCCAACCCAAGTTCAAGGGCCGACGCCTTTCCTTGCGAGAGCTAACGGAGGTTGACGGGGAGCTGGGTACTTACTGCAAGTTCCGCCGCTGAACATGGGAATTGTTTCAAACATCATTTTGTGAAACAGCAGTGCCACGGGTCTGTAATCCAGGTGATTCTTTAACAGGTAGCTATAGTAGTACACGTAACGTCTCTGACTGGGAATTGTCACTCCCTAAACAGAGGGAAAACAAACGTCAAAAACCATCAAGACCATTTATTGGCATCACTAGCAGAGCTCCTGCCATTACCTCAGAACATAACTAGAGGCAAACAAACCACGAGTGAAAAGGCAGCTACGGCACCTGGAATAAAGCGCCGCGATTTACGCCGAGCATGCCCCTGCAGCAGCTACGCCGGAGACCGGCACACGGCGGGGAGCGCCTGGGGAGCAGGGGAGCGCTGCCCTCTGCCCAGCCGCACAGGTTTTTGGTGCGCCAACTCCTGATGGCCTCAGCCATTTCTTCACCGTGGGCCACCCTCAGTACCTTAAGGACTAGCAAAGACAGAATCCACCTCCAAGCCACCCCCCAAGACAGCCTCCGTACGCGTTCCCCTTTTCCCCGGACACGCGCCCACGTCTCCGCAGCGCGGTTGAGGGGAAGCTGCCGGCACACGTTATCTGGCACCAGGCAACTAACTGCCCCCAGCCCCCAGCACGGGGCGAGCGGGACAGCGGCTTCCCAGTTACTTGAGGACACACCTCCAAACACCCACCTCAAGCAATGAGGCCAAACCCCCAGATGTTTCCGTATCTCAAAACCAAACACCTCCGAGCCCCCGCGGGCCATGTAAGAGATGGTTGCATGCTGCTGCTTTTTTGGGGGTTGGAGGGTGTCAGAGATTAGGCTGGAGGTGCCTTGGACATACGAATTTTTAAGCACCAATACCAGAATTGCATTTCGACAGCAGTTTAAGTCAAAAGATTCTGATTTTGTTTGCTGATATCAACATACTCGAGACTGATGCTACCTCCCTATTACAAAATGCCCTTCTGAAATCGAAAGAGAAGTTTCATTAATACAGACCCAGCAGCCCAAATTGTTAAACAAAGGACTTCTCACTTTAATTACAACTCCCAAGTAAACACTTGCTTTGAGAACGTATTACCAAAGAACATTTTAATTATGGATTTTAAATCAACTTAAACCTCAAGTAAGGGCATAGTTTTAAAGATCTTATAGCAAATATTTTCACACAAAAGTGATAAAGATGAAAAATAATGTAATTCCCTAGAAAACACATTACATGGTTTATAACAACCCATACTGACGCAACAGCATCACTAAACTGTCATATTAAAACTAAATGGGAAATTGCAATAAACTGGAGAAAAGAATAGGTTTTCATGTATGAGTCTCCAAGCATTTCGGTCACAAAGCCTTGAACACGGTGTGCTACAAGCTGTCAGTTCCAATACCTGCCTCTTACAACACCCGTAAGCTAAGAGCAGACAGAGTACTTTTAATTTAGTAAGCATCTATCACTTCCTGCCTTTATTTAAAAAAAATAAATACAAAAAAATATGTGTCCTTACCACTTCAGCAGCTTCTAAATGCCACAAAAGACTTTGTCCCACAGCACTTGTACAACGACCTTCTTCAGTAGCCTTCTACACTGCCAAGGGTTTTGGTTCAGCTCCATCTCAGTAGTTAAAGCCCCCTCATGAAGTGGGTCTGATAAAGTTCGCTTTCCTGGGGTCTGAGCTTCATGACTGAGAAAATCCCACCCTCAGAGCAAACCATCAGTAATTCGCTGCCAACCAGAAGCAAGCCATGCAGGTGAGGAAAACGCATCCTTCTCTGCTCATAGCTTCTCCATGCCTAGAGGATGTGCCCCACGGAGAGACCCCAGCACACCTTACCAGGACGGCCAGGGCTGGGACCAGAACAAAGGGACCACAGCCACTTTCACGGCTCTATAAAGTGAGAGTCCATCTCCAAGTAGCCAAGAGGGCAGTGTTACGCCTCCAGCCAGAGATTTTTATATCCCAGAAATAGAGCCTTTACCCTGAGATCCTAAGAGCTGACCACACTGACGTGGAACACAAAGTTCTCCATTTTCCAAAGGTCTGATTTCGAAGCAGAACACTTTCATAACAAGCTCATATTCCGAGAGGTGCAATCAGTCCCTGCTTACTTTTACTCAAGAAACAAAGAACAGGGAAGCAGTTTAAGCGTTTTCCCCTCAAGAAGCTTACATTTCCCAACCGTCACCATCATAATTTTTTAAATGGACATTAGTCAGTCTTCTCTAGTTCCTATGCCAGGAGTTTCCCAGGGCACTGCTGAGCTGCGCAGACATCTCGGAAACTGTCAGGTGCTGCTCCTGGTTCTCCTCTCAATGTAGCACAGGCAGCATTATGAAGAACAAACTTTTTTTAAGTAATATTCCCACATTAACCTAAATAACGTGCCCTACTGTGAGAGTAAAGCTAAAGCTGCAGCCTCAGACTGGGCTTACGGCATCGGGTTTGGCAGAGGTTGTCCCTCGAGTACGTCGAACAAACAGGCATCAACTCATCAGCTCTGACACCAGACATTGGGTACCTACCCTGTTCAAAGTCGTTCTGAGACTCCCTCGCACAAAGTAATTGGTTTCCATTTCCTGTTCAGTTACATCGCTATTAGGAGCTGTTCCTAAAAATACAACAGTATTGGGATCATCTCCAGCTCAAGCATGTGAATAGTTGCTCCCAGCTGATACCTATCTGGTGAGCAGACTACGCTTCCTTCCAAGACTAATCCTCACCATAAAACCTTCAAGGCAGAAGTGGGAATAACTAAAGACCTTCTCCAGCTGTAGGAATGCTCAAGTTGTCAGTCCTCATCATCGCAGTAGTATCTCAGCATCCATCGTGAGGAAAGAACAGGCGACAAGCTAGCCGTTCCAAACAACGAAGCAGCAGCTTTCTAAGACAACTTTTCTGGGGGTTTACTTCTCCCTCAGCTCTGAAGAAAGGCTGGACAATTACAGTTCTTTATCCAAGTCAGAAAAAAGTTTGTCTCCCTTGGTTCAAAGGGCAAACAGAAATCAGGCCTGTTCTACTACAGTGGTCGTGACCGACAGACATGACCATTAGCCAACACTTCCTAATCTCCACTGTTCCTGTCTTCTCAAAAAGGATCCTCCCACTACAATGAGCTACCAAAGTCAAAAGAGGCAGCTTATAGAAAAGAAAAAACCACACATACAGAGTTTTTGGTCAGAGGCAGACTTCCAGGCTCAGTTCTGCAATGTCTTCTTCCCCACTACCTTTCCTGGGACGACAGCACATTAACACACTATCGAGGAACCGTCAGCCTCGTCCACAACTCACGCTTTATGTTGCGAAGGCCCCCATGAAGCTGCATCTCCCAGCACGCACTTGTGAAAAGCTGGCTACAGAAGTACTCGAGGTTGTTCTCTTGACCAGTTAGTCATACTTCCTCTTGCAATTGGACTCGCACTTCCTGCCAGCATGGACCAAACCCTCTCGAGAATCACCCTGCCACGCACACTAAAGGCAACAGCGATTTTAGCTACGCTATTCCGAGCAGCTACGTACAAACCGCGCGCCTTGCGCTTGCTTTGAACTAAGAGAATTTGGTGCCTAACTAAAGCAAGTTTTCCTTCATCACACATATGCTGGTCCAGCAACAAAATGAAGAAAAATACATTTTCTTGTTCCTAAGTGCAAAGAGCTCTGCTGATGCCTCGTTTGCCTGGGGCTCCGGAAGTTGGTTGTACAAAGGTGTCAAACGGGAGGGCAGCACTTGGCACAGAACATGGGCCACAGGGGAAGGAGAAGCCCCTAGAACCTACCTGCACTGGAGTACCTGTTTATAAACACTTCTTTAAGGAACATGTGGATCACATGCTGCCCACATAAAGATAACCAGGCCCAAATGGAGCTGGCTGGATGAAATTACGGACAATATTTACAGTGAAGCCAAACAAGGCTCTCGCTATTCCTGTTCCCGGAGGTCCCCATTACCTCAGACATGGCAGAGGCACCGTACAGTGGGGTGCTGATGAACACCGAACTGACCTTACCCTCAACAAACTGACATGCAGAAATATGGCCTTTTTCTTGTTTTAACAAAAGGGAAACTGAGGTACAACATGCTCCACCACATATTTGTTAAGTTTTGTTGTTCTCATGATATTTTACCTGGCTCTTTAGATAACCTTTATCAGCAGGAGTAATCTACTCTTTATTCATCACACAGCTCATTCCTGTTTGCTATCAGGCGCCCTTACCAAAAGCCACAAAGTTCTGATGGGAAACCTTGACGCTGTCTCCACTCTGCTATTGCACCACAACAATCTTCTCAGCAGCTCGCAGAGTAACAGCTCCATCTCGTAAGGAGAGCAAACTGAGAAGCTATTTGCTCTTTCCAATGAATTAACAGCCAAATTCTAAAATTCCTTATGTGACACTTCTGCTCTCAAGAGCCTTCAAACATGAAGCTCTGCTTATTAGAGGTCTACGCACTGTGAAATTAATACTTTATGCAAATACTACAGGAACACAGAGAGCTCTGTCCTTGAGTAGGCTGGAACTTGCCTGCCAGGATGATCCCCCTGGGCTGCTCTACCAACACACACAAGGACGTGATGGAAGATGAGCAGGGAAGCTTGCTGAAGTGACCTTGCAAGGCACACCCCATTATATTTGGAGAAGATTTCAAATAAGGAGGTTAAATTCCCATTAATGAGGCATAGCCATGCCAGAAAGGTCCAACATACAGTTACTGCAAAGTCTGCCTGTACCACTGACAAGGCCTTAACAGAAAGCTCTTGTAGCCATGAACATCATTTCTCTGAAGTGAGATCCTCCCGTTTCTCCGCAGAAGTACAAGAAACCAGTACACGAAACAGCAGCACCTCATGAAGCAGGCTTGGAGGTTGCCAATGTCTGAGCTTAACTACTCATTTACTGACACGGGGCACCCAACAACAGACTGATACACTCTTCCAGTAGGGATATTCAGCTGTAACACACGCTGTAATGACTACGCATCTCCAAACGCCACCACAGAGACTAAGAGAACCTGAGGAGTTGAACAGCTCATCCATTCAGGCAAAACAAGCTAGAATAATCCTCTCATTTGGGCTGAAAGTGCTGAACGACAAAGTTCACTCATCAACCGCCCATCTGATGCAACACACAGCAGAATGCTATTTAAAAGGCTATTTAAAATAAATTGTCCAGATCTTCTTGAACAGGAGATGGAAAAACCAGGCTGTTTGATAGTGTTGTGAGTAATGGCTACTGCTGCTTAGAAAAGCTTTTTCATTTAGAACACCGGCACTGATCCAACAACGTTAAAGCTAAATCAAACCAGGTACCACAACTGATGGGAGGTATTTCTTAAAGTGCTTGACTTTTCAAATTGAACTCGAGTAGGAAAAGCATAAAGATAGGAGTAGGAGAACAGCAGAACAGAAAATAGCTCACCTTCTTGTCTCTGGTCCTTACTTCCCCATAGAAATCTAGGGCATCTTGAGCCTTTAAAAACTTGCCTCGATGCAACAAATATGCACATATCATTACACCAGTTCGTCCCTTTCCAGCTTTACAGTGGATTGCTGCAACATGATTGTCATCTTCACTTAGCCATTGGTCAAGATCTTCACAAAAAGGTTTGATAAGCTCTAGCTGTGGTGGGTTATGGTCTTCAAAAGGGTACTGTGCAACTGCAATGAGAAGAAGTAATTTATCAGAATCTCAGAAGGAAATTGCAGTGAGCTCAACCAGACAGGTCAGCTTTGTGACAAGCATGCAAAAAATTAACTAAATAACCCCCCACCTTGCATACAGACATGTAGATTGTTTTATTCCAGTATTATTCAGTAACGTACTGCACATCGTATGCATTGCAGACATTTCTCTAGTGATACGTAAGCAAGCATCCTGCTAGACGAAGAGACCGTTTCACACTGCTACTGAAATGGGTGGCGGCAGACTCTACCTTACATTACAAATTTTCTAGAATTTAGGAGTGCACTGGCACAAAGAACAACCTCGTGAAAACCCATTACTCTAGCAATAATGAGACTACCTGCTGAGAGAAAACAGGGCCAGACCTCAGTCACTGATCAGACAATAGGAATTTTGCTGAAACATTCTGAACACAGTTGGGTCTATGTTAGGAACAAACTCTCGGAATTTGCTGAGAGGGGTTTTGAAACAAAAAAAACGCAGTTTGTGTATTAAAAAAATAGTAATTGAAAAAGAAATCTCATGTAAGGCACTTGCAATATGTATGGGTTTTAAAGTCAAACCACTGAACAAAATTGTCCTTTTTCTTAAATGGATATATACACGCACCCAGACACCTTCTTCCACCTAGAGATGGGAAGAACTTCAAGCGAGCATGCAGGACATTGAAGAAAACTCAAGAGAGCAAAAAATAACCAGAAGCAGAGACGGGTGCCCAGACCCAAACCTCTACGACCTCAGTACGATGACAGGCAACGCCACACTGACTGCCAGATCCCACGGGGCTGTACCAGCTTTGTCAGAACAGCACTTCATACAGCGCACCCCAAGTCCCCACCGACAGACTTGGGATCTTGTATTCGCAAGTCTGCTTCACTTAAACGTTCTCAGCTAGAAACACCATTTCCTTTTCTGGTCTAAAAATGAATAAATTTCATTTTTTGGCAAGTGTGTGTATTAGTTTCGTAAGTACTGCTCTCTTGTCACACACGCAAGGCTCCTTCTGATGAATCCCCAGGGACTTAAAGAGCAGAAGTGAGGGATGAAGTTATGGAACTGCTAAATCACTGCAGCACAAGTCCCAAGCCTTTCGGAGGGATCTGCAAGGGCAGTTTATTCGCTCGCGCTACAGACCGCCCACTTAATCACCCGGAAGACCAAATAGGGAAGCCCGATAAAGTGAATAATCTTTGCTAGAGAAACAAAGGCTGATGAACACGAGCATGCACTAATAAATTCTTCCACATGGAAGATCCAAAGACTCGCCAAGTGGTCGTTTTATGTGAACTTACAGAGATGCCACTTTTTGCAGCAGATGTAAACGGAAGGAGGAATTTATTTAAAAACCTCTAAGAGAAGCAGCTGTTAGGAGATGCTGCGAATTTGTCCATACAATTTTATCTTAGCTACACCCAATAAGGCTCCCGTGAAAAGGAGACACAAAGCAGTCCTGCAAGAACAGCCTGAAAAATCCGGAGCAGTTAACAGCATGCTGAAGATGCCCTCCAAGATTTGGGATCAAAGCCAAACCTTGCATTATGGTCTTCAAAGATGGAATGAGAAGATGAAATGGGCACCCTGTGACGGTGCAGAGGGATTAAGAGTCAGAAAGCAACCTTAGGAAACATCAAGCTGCACAATCTTGAGCTGAGAGGGTGCAGGTCCTCCATGGACTTCGGTTCCTAACACTGGAGCACAAAGCATGGAGAATTTGATCAGTCTCTCCAAGCTCCTAGACGTTGCAAGAAAAATCCCATAGCACATGAAGGGGTGAAATATAAAATATAAGGGGTGAAAAATAAAAAGGAAATCCCGTGGCAAAGCAGAAGGCAATTTCCGGCATTGAAGTGCTTCAGAACTGCGAAAACCCTAGACAGAAATCCAGCATCCAAAGAAGATTAAGGGCTTTCAATGTTTGGTTTTGTACGTGATGGAAGAGCATCCAAGTTGAATACTGAACTACTATGGTGCTTCATGCTAAGTGTATAAATGAGAAGTTCCCTTTGAAATGAATTCACTTCAGAATACTTTGAAGTAGAACTGTTGTTCCTCTGCTAAGGGAAGTCCCAAGTCACCGATTTGGTTTTCTAAGGTAACTAATTCGGGGATGAAAAGGAGAAAAAAATAAAAAAGCAACATGTAGCTCCCTACAGAAGTGTTGTCTTATGCAGAGGAGCTGTGAAAGGTGCTGTCACGAACATCGTTTTGGGCTGGGATTGACAGTGAAGGGATCTGAGCGCCCCCGTAATGGGAAGCATAAATTAAAGCAAGCATATGTTCTGGACATATTAGCAGCACATCCTTTTCATTTGCACCTTTTCTCCTTTACCCAAAGTATTGCTCAAGCAGATCTTAAAATGCTTTTTTCCTGGCTTGTATGTATTAAGTGAGGTTCCACGATGCTGTTGCTCAACATCGTAAGAGCAAAGCAGAAGCAAAGATGGCTTCAAAATGAAGATTTCAGTCCTTCTATATTCAGACATTAAAGCAGCCAATTACATTTTGGTCATGATCTAAACACCCTCTTTACAACTAGAGGGATGGTTTAAAACAACAGCAACAAAAAATAGAGAAGTTGAGCCCTTGCTATGATGCAGTATCAGCCAGTAAGGCCAAAATCGATTCATCTCCTACGATTTCGTACACACAAGCACTCCTTATCTACCCGGCCATTCTGAAGCACTGCATGAAGAGGAACTACAAGCTCTCTGCACAGTAGCAGATGTTCCTCTGCACAAAGAATAAAGGTAAATAGGTATTTAATTACCTGGGGAGTTAATACTGACAGAACAGGTACATCAGCTTCCACTCACCAAGGGTCTGATCAAAAGGAGCCCCTAGAAGTTTCCCCACTGGTTCTGGTAACTCTGCACAGTATCTAAGAACCAACTCATCTCCAAGAGGCATCACGTGGGAATTTTTTTTTTTTTTTTTTTTTTTTAGAAGGAACTGAAGGTTTGTTCCAGATCTTCAAAAAGTTGTTTTATACAAACAGTGACAGTGGCTTAAGTGTTCTCCATTTTTATTCTCAGTAATGCCTCTGCATAAAAAATGGGCTTCTCTAAGCTTCACACCTGAATTTTACAGAAAGTTTGTGCACTGAATTGAACCGAGACTTCTGTCTAACCCATTCTGCAGACATTTTTCCACCAGTAGACTTGTGATCGCCTTACTAGATCTTGGTCCAGTTAACTGCCAGGAACATACTTTTTTGAAAGCATCAAGAACATAGCAAGTTTCTCCAATGACTCAAAGCAATCTGATATCATTCCTTGTGCCCAAATTTCCTACATCACAACTATTGATCAGCTCCTCTTTTACACCTTCAACCAGAAACAGTGAAGTTTAAAGAGAAGAATATATATTAGACAGCAAAAACATACCTCTGCAGTTAAATTTGGCGGTGTCGTAATGTCTTTCAGCACATCTAAAAAGGAAAAACAGAGAAGAGTTGAAGACAAGGCTCTGAGGCACTCCCACCGTCTGTCACATCTTGGAACACGCAGATCAACAGATGGGAAAATCACGTTTACCCATCACCTTGATGATTCAAAACTACAGCCAGAGGTTACATACAGAAAAACTGCTTTGTTACAGATGTGTGAAGTTGCTCACTAAAATATCAGTTATATTACTGAAGAACAATTACTTACGCTGTGGTAATTACGGTCCATCAGTATGTTTCAGCCCGCATGACTCTCAACGGAGACATTCACGCACGTGGTACAATACACCACTACTTTTTAACACCGCAGTGTTAACAGCTCCAGCCGCTCGAGCAGCTTCACGCTCCCACACAAACAGATGAAGAGTAGATGGCTATGACCTTCATCCAATTGATTCTGGATTCGAAACACGTGTCAAGACTCAACAAGAGCAACACGGGTGCTAGGGGCGATGGGGATCACAAGGACATTTCAGAGACCCTCGGCTAGTGCAACCTAAGCAAGCATTCTTCCTTCAATTACAAGACCCCGATGAGGCCACTGCAGGCCACTGAAAGCACCACTGAATATTGTGATGGTGATCACTCGTATCAAGCAGAGACTGTGATACTGCTCTCCAACCTGGCACGGTTCTTCAACTTAGGTGAACTCCCCAAAAAGCCCAAGGCCAGTCAGCCAGTTTTCCCTCACAGACCCTGGAAAATGGCACAATTCTGGACACTGGAGCTGCATCGATGTCTGTCTCACCACTCCAAGACACCCTCCCTACCTAGCTGGTAGCGCAGCAAATCACACTGCTTTAGTCTTGCAGGGCGACTTGCCTAGGGACTAACATCAGTAAGCAGAGATAAACAACCCAATCAGGAGGGCTCTAACCCAGCCAAAATGGCATGCTGCAAGGGAAAAGGCTAGATCAGATGCTGGGGGTAAGGGGAAAGGCAGCAAGAAGTGGATGCCCTCCACAATTTTCCATGGGGTCGCTCTCTGCAGGCAAAATGATGCTCCCCTACATGGTCCAAGTGGAGATGCAGCAAGGAAAACAAGAACAATCCTGCCCTGAAACAAGAGGACTCCAGGTTGAAACACAATGATGGGACTCATGTCAGCAGAGAACACACATCTAGATCTTCTGTTCACATCTAGATCTTCTGTTCTGATTATAACCCGTGCTCCTCGTAGGGTTCAAATACCCACACCAGTTTCAGGACTGGGACAAACTTATCTTCCTTAGTAGGACCGTTGGGACTGCAGCCTTTGGAGCCATGTGGAGCTCACTCGACACTTTCAGACACACAAGCTCTCAGGCTCCTACTGGTATTGCTGTCGCCCCTAACTGGAGCCTTGCACGTGCTGCGCTGAGCTTTGTCCCCGAGCCTGAGATGCCAGGCACAGAGGTCTGCTGGGGCTGCACATGCACTCAGCGCTTCCCCCTCTCTGAATTCCAGAGCCTTCTCGACTCCAGGCTCTGCGAGGGAAAGGTCTGGCAGTGTTTACAGCTCTGACCACATTGCTGACGCTTTCCCTGGGTCAGAAGCGATACGGCGCAGGTTGAGCTGGCAGATGGGACTCAGAAAGCATCATCTATCTGCCCCCGAGCCTCTGCGAGGGAAGGTCAGACACAGCACGTGCACCCAGGGGGGAGTCCCAGGCCTGGGGCAGCCACCAGCTGTGCTGGACAACGCCTGCTCCAAGCCAGCCAGCACCAGAACTCTGGAAGCTGAGCCTGCTAGGAAGCAAAGCAGTCAACACAAAGCATCTCATCCAAGAAGTTTCACAGAATCATTTAGGTTGGAAAAGACCTTGAAGATCATCAAGTCCAACCGCTTCCTTCTTTCCTTTTAAAGAAAGATCCAGTTCAAAGGGGTAGTAAGAAATGAAAGTCTTCAAAATTTGAAGGCTTTTTTGCCCATATGTGGATTTTTTTTTTTTAATGTTTTGTAGTTTGAGAGAGTATCAAGTAAAATACCATGGGATGAAAAAAATAGTTTTGTTGATACCCAGGATAGAACCTGAGTGCAGAACACACCACGGGATGAAAAAAATAGTTGATACCCAGGATAGAACCTGAGTGCAGAACACAGCCGTGTCATTCTGTGCCCTCTTATGGGAGCCACGTACGACGCAGGGCACATGCGAGTCCCAGACACGGCTGTACAAAACACTCGCCTGTCATGACACGGAACACGCGTGTATCTGCAGCAGAGACCCCACCGACACACGCCTGGGGGGATGCTCCCCTTGCTTAGCATTTCAAGTGCATTTTTTTTAAACACTGTTTGACCTGTAATACACCCAGATCTCCAGAGGAAACATGAACCTCTTTTTTTTTTTGATTGGGGGGGCATGGTTCTTGTAATCTTGCTTATGATTAAAGCGGGTTTAAAGCAACCCAGATCCTAACCGCTGCCACCTTTCCGATCATAACCACGAGCCCATCGACAACAGGACTATAGGCTACCAAAAAGATGGAGGCCTGTGCCAAAGTGCAACCCCACCTACACAGAGGTACAGAAAGCACGCACAGAAAACCCACGTTGGTCATCACAGCTCCTTCCTGTGGGACAGCCAAAGGAGATACACTGGAGAAGGTGAAGATGCGTGCAACAGGGGAGGCAACAATTCGGCAGTATGTGAAGCTTGGCGATAGAAGTGGAAGAATGTGTTCAAATAAAGAGGAATACTGAAGAGATAGCAAAGGGGTAAGAAACACAGGAGAAGCCCAACACAAACAAGAAACAAAACTAAATGGATTGCTCAGGCATTCGCTGGGAAGTTCAAAGCCAAGATACGAGGATGAGGCATAACCGACACCGTTTAAGCTTCACTTCAGAAAAATCTCTCTAAATCCTTTTAAATAAAACTGCTCAATACTCACATTATCAACTTCATATAACAGCTACCTTAAGGGAACTGAAACCCCCGTGACAGCGTTTGGAATAATTCTGAATATAATCACGTAACTCCTCTGAACTCCCACCTCCTCCTTTTAAACGCAGACAAGAGGTTGATGATTTACAAAGGATCAGCTTAAATCTGAAGAGATGCTGTTCCCCAAAATACCCAAAGGCTGCAATTTCTTCCCATCTTGTGACCAAACATTGCAACAATTCACCCAATGGCTTTTACGTACTCGGCGTGTGTATAGATTTTGCGTGGCTGAAGACAGCAGAGATAACCTGGCCTCGCTGGCCGGAGAGATGCAGTTCAACAGCTGTGCAGTAATCACTTGAGTCTTCATTTCCAGCTGATCCATCTTTTGGGCAGGAAGAAACCCCACACACTTTAACAGGAAGCTTTCTCCTGCAGAAGTTTTCATCCGAGGGTGAATACAGTAATTTTAGGAGGTTTCACTTGTGATTGTTTTGAAATTAGCAACAAGGAAAAATCGATGGGGGTGTTCTCGCACCGAAAACTGGAAGTTTTTACATGATGAGCTCGAAGACAAAAACTTCTGGCACCCCTGGATGAGTTCTTTGCACGGCTGGAAACATGTGTATCGGCACCATAAACGTCAAATGCGTTTGTCCCAGCACAGCTCTTCTCACGTAAAAACTTTGAAGTTGCTCCTGTGAAGGGTCAGCTGAACTGGTTTTTGCTTTTTTCTCAAGTAAAATGAGGTTACTGGCACACAGCAAAGTGGAAACTTCTCAGGCACCACCTCCCTGAGGAGCTACTTGCTAAGATGCACAGAAGTCTCACTGAACTCGTACCTGCTGACCAAGCCTGGAAGTTAACACACAGCAACCCACTGCTTTACCTGCCACCTCTGGAGCCGACTCCCAACAAGCAGCTCGGCATCAGGTGGCGCAGCAAACCCGGATCTTGTAAGCGACGTCAGAGCCACGCTCCACAGAAGCCGACAGCTGAGCCCAGCCCCGACGAGCCGGAGGAAATTAAGCTGTACCTGTCCTGTTCTGCTTTGCTCCCCAAACCAAGCAAAGCTCTCAGGAGGCTGCGGGGGGGTGTCTACCAAACCCACTGTAGATTTTGTAGGACTCAGCTCTCCAGCGCAGAGCTCCAGAAGACTTCACAAGAGGACATCCAGGAGGTTACCTCCTTAGTGAGCTGCACGTGCATGCAGGAGCTACCAGCTATTCTCGGAAGCCCTGTCCTTTCCACCCGCAAGTGCCACCAGGACAGCATTTATTAAAAGGCTGATATTCTGGAGAGCTTTTAAGCTGGAGAAAACAATTTTCTTACCAAGCTGTATGATAGGTGCCCCGTTAGTTTATTTGAATGTGTATTTTGTTTACACATTTCTGTCTGTCCCATCCTACCACAGGCTCTATGGACAACTTCAATAACCAGTACGCAGCTTCTCAGCTTCTGGTATCACTTCTCTCCAGCATCAGGAAACAGAATTGCTTGATGCATAATCCTTCAGCCAATTTAGAGGCATATCTAAATACCTATTTTTAAATGACTGACAGATTACAATGTAATGCATTGCCCAGATTGCCATACTACAGTCGTTTTCCCATTAACTGCAGATATTTAGAAACATATTTAAAAAAAAAAACCTTCACAAAATTAGCAACAAGGAAAAATCGATGGGGGTGTTCTCGCACCGAAAACTGGAAGTTTTTACATGATGAGCTCGAAGACAAAAACTTCTGGCACCCCTGGATGAGTTCTTTGCACGGCTGGAAACATGTGTATCGGCACCATAAACGTCAAATGCGTTTGTCCCAGCACAGCTCTTCTCACGTAAAAACTTTGAAGTTGCTCCTGTGAAGGGTCAGCTGAACTGGTTTTTGCTTTTTTCTCAAGTAAAATGAGGTTACTGGCACACAGCAAAGTGGAAACTTCTCAGGCACCACCTCCCTGAGGAGCTACTTGCTAAGATGCACAGAAGTCTCACTGAACTCGTACCTGCTGACCAAGCCTGGAAGTTAACACACAGCAACCCACTGCTTTACCTGCCACCTCTGGAGCCGACTCCCAACAAGCAGCTCGGCATCAGGTGGCGCAGCAAACCCGGATCTTGTAAGCGACGTCAGAGCCACGCTCCACAGAAGCCGACAGCTGAGCCCAGCCCCGACGAGCCGGAGGAAATTAAGCTGTACCTGTCCTGTTCTGCTTTGCTCCCCAAACCAAGCAAAGCTCTCAGGAGGCTGCGGGGGGGTGTCTACCAAACCCACGGTAGATTTTGTAGGACACAGCTCTCCAGCGCAGAGCTCCAGAAGACTTCACAAGAGGACATCCAGGAGGTTACCTCCTTAGTGAGCTGCACGTGCATGCAGGAGCTACCAGCTATTCTCGGAAGCCCTGTCCTTTCCACCCGCAAGTGCCACCAGGACAGCATTTATTAAAAGGCTGATATTCTGGAGAGCTTTTAAGCTGGAGAAAACAATTTTCTTACCAAGCTGTATGATAGGTGCCCCGTTAGTTTATTTGAATGTGTATTTTGTTTACACATTTCTGTCTGTCCCATCCTACCACAGGCTCTATGGACAACTTCAATAACCAGTACGCAGCTTCTCAGCTTCTGGTATCACTTCTCTCCAGCATCAGGAAACAGAATTGCTTGATGCATAATCCTTCAGCCAATTTAGAGGCATATCTAAATACCTATTTTTAAATGACTGACAGATTACAATGTAATGCATTGCCCAGATTGCCATACTACAGTCGTTTTCCCATTAACTGCAGATATTTAGAAACATACATATTTAAAAAAAAAAAAGCCTTCACAGCTTGGAGAATCAATAAATCTTCAACTTAGATTTCTAGGATAAAATGAGGGGTAGGAAAACCAGGACCTACGTTCCAACATCAGCTGACATCGCCAAATCACTTATACAAATTAAATTAGCCAAAGCTAACATGTAAAGATGATCAAGGAATAACAACAACAAAAACCCCTTCTATAACAAGAACAGCTTTCTGCATAACTGAATTTTCAGAGGAAAACATTACACTTACAGAAGTGAGAAACCATCACATTACCAATTGCTGCGATAGCTTTTTCCAGAGTAAAACAGAGGGACAGTCAAGAATAGGGAGGAGGCAGACAGGAGCTGGGTACCAGTACAGCTTGATACACAAAAAAAAAAAAAACCAAACCAGAAAAAAAACCAGGAAAATATTCCTTTGGCAATTTCTTCAGTGCGGACATTAATACATGAGCAGAGAGCCTGCTGTGAATTACTTTTCACTTTTTAATCACATGGTACAAGCTCCAGATGGGCGAGATGCCAAGTCATTTAAAAGCGTTCAAGTAATATGAATACACACCAGCATTTCATTTAACCTCGCTCAGCTCCGCTAAATGAAGTAACAGTGCTCTCAATCAGGCTTAATTGTTTTAAGAAATGTGCAAAACATCTCTAGCTCTGCTTCAGTACAGCGACAAGCCACTTCCACTCACAGGCTATTTTTAGAAGTCATTATTTTGGAAAATACATCTATAAGAGCATACTTACAGATTGTATATCTTGTAATGGTTTTTATGCTTTGAATCCAGAAACCTTAAATAGAAAAATAAAAGGCATGTATTAATAAACATTGCAATACCGACGACCTCGATTTGCAGCATCATTAGAGCACCACTCAGCACGTGCAGTTCCGCGTTCCAAGTCCCAGCTGGCCCTGCCGTGCCTCAAGTCAAGGAGGCAGCGTGCTGCAAGCCTCACGCACACCAATAGTCCAGCGGCGTGAAGGCGACTGCTTACGCAGCGGAGGAGACCACGACCTGACCTGCGACTGAAGTGCTTACTGCACGGGCCAATCTGCGCCCATTTCTCAGATACCTGCACATCAGTACCTTAGGCTGAGGAAGGGCTGCTTATTTTTAAAGCAGAAGGCATCGATTACACAAGGGACCTGTAAACACTTGCTTCCAATTCAGTCATCTATGCAAAGCATTTTGCCACGGTGGTATTTCCAATGAAAAACCAGTTAAAATAACGTTGGTATTCCAGTTAGAACAGCCGGGATAATTTATTTTAACACCAGGCTTTTAAAGTGGCCCTTATTTGCCACTGGGGTCCGAGGACAGTGCCCGATGATGTTCCTGCTGCAGAGAGGAGGAGGAGGAAGACCACTGCCCTCCTTCGCATTCGCACTCATTTCATTTTCATGCTCACTTTGTAACAAAAACTTCCCATACCAGCCTCGGAGAGACAAACTGCAAACATGATTCATCAAAATTGCCATGATTATATATGATGTGTCACCTGGCAACGTTCAAGAAGAAATAACATACAAATGTTTACACTTAACATCATCAACAGTGTGTATCTGCACATCAGCCAGAAGGAATTTAATTAGCCATGACAGAACATGCTGTTCAAAGTGAAGAGAAACACTAGCTGCTAAAATCCTGGAAAGCTCGAGCAAAAACAAGCTCTGGTTATCAGTCATAATATTCCAGAAGAACCTAGAAGAACTCTGTGGTTAAACCGATGCGTTAAAATAAGAGCAGATGTGAATGTTCCCCATGCAGCACTGAGCACGAGATTCCAATTTCATCAGCAAAAATGTTTCGTGACTCCCGCTGGCGCCCCTGTCGGCAGGCTCTGCGGTATCGAGGGAGGTGGGGGACATGGCCATTTGCTTCAGGAGGTGTCCCTGCTCGTTTAAAACCCGCTGGAGAGCAGGGAGAGCGGACTCCGCTTCCGCCAGCGCTGTCCGCAAAGCTGAGCACGAGCTCTCAGGCGAGTATTTTTCTCAGAACGGAATTCCATCCAAAACCTCTGCAAGCATCAGTCACGGGGGACAGCCAGCAGTCCAGGTAGCACCTCTTACACAGCGGTAGCACTAGATTTGTCAGGATACCAGCTATCCAGAAAAAGCCCACGGGCGTATTCTGGCTCGAGACCAATTGCTCTGGAGCCCAAACACATTGAATTTCTGCAGAAAAAGCTCTTGGAAAAAAATTCCACAATAAGAAGATGACAGGATCAGCTGAGGCCCTGCCAACTGCAACGCAGAGTGCTGCGTGGTCCTATTCTGTACGTTATTCTCATTTAAAAATAGGAGGTGACAAACATGACACCACTTTAGCATCCGGTTCCCTACAGCCACTTCATTTACATCTCTCTGTATCTTAATTTGGTTGATTACACTTTTAGGTGATCACTACTCCTTTTGATCAGCGCTTTAATGGACAACTTCATAATTAGAGAGTCATTCTCTTTCAAAAGTCTAACTCACACATATCGACATACTTAGCCAGTAACATGTATTTTCCTTCACACTGAAACCAACGCTGTGAATGGCAGAGAGCCTTCAAAGGCCACGGCCTGTTATTATTTACTTGGGTTATTCCCATGTCATTTCCCCCAAGTCCAGCCTTTGTTCCTATCCCACAATTTCCATAGGCGGAATCCACCAGGGACCACACACCTGGCTGAGCAGATGCAACGCCCACACCAGCTCAGGGAAGGCTGGCTCTGGCTGCGGCAAAGGCGGAGGGCTGGGGAGCCTGAGTTTGCGGGACAGCCCTTACCTGGCAGCAAAAGCTTTTTCTCGCGTGCAAGCTGTGTGCAATCATACGACGAGAACACACAACTTCACGCCTCTCACCGATTCCAGCAGACGTACGCACTCTGCCAGGGCATTTACAGATTGCTGTGCAGAACCTCGCCGATACGGCCGGCTCTGGGGAAGTGGCTTCTCACTGCCGCCTGACAGAACACGGTCGCTCTGCAAGCCTGCTCAAATCCAGCCACGCAGAACCGACGCCCCCCGAGCTCAGGCAGCCAGCCGCAGCCGCACAGGGAAGCCGCTGCCTCCAGGCGCCCGCTTCTCAGCGGAGGGTTGCAATTCCTCCCGGTGCAGGAACCGAGGAGCTGCCTCAACTCATTTCTGTGCAAAACCTGGATGCAAATTACCGGTGAAATGCAAGCGGTGCTAATTCTGCCTGCCAACGGTTACGAGACACCTTGCGGGGCATCTCGGAGCCGGCAGCAGCGCCTGCTCGCCCAGATACGCCCACCGTAACGCCACTGCCGAACCATGCCCCCGCCTGCACCGTCCCCCCATCCCCAAACGCCCAGTCTCTCGCAAAGCCACTGAACTCACGCCCTCAAACGCCATCATCTCAAAAGCATCACGTGTGACTTCAAGTCAGAATCCTAAACCCACTAACATTCGGCAGCTGCTGCCAAGTATTTGGTGTTTAACGCAAGCTCTCACGCTGCCTTCTCCAGGTAGGGTGCTGACTGAACAAATTACAACCACGCTCCTACGCCTTCCACTGTTGTATCCAGCAGTTCATAGCAGGTAACTTTATTCGATGGTAAAAATGACAAATTGTAGGGGTTTTTTTACAAAACGTGATATAAACCGTCACCAGCAATAACGAATTTCAGCTGATTTTTCTCCTCGTCCACAATTACTGAACACAGCCAGATGTAAACGCCTTTCTCTGAAGTCACCCATATTTACTACTTTAGACCAAAATTAACTGATCAAGCACTTCATTCATCGACTGAAGAAAGGATATGGGCAAACATATCCTGAAATGCCATCGGCTCTCTGAGCGAACTCTCAACGCCAGGACCAGAGGCACGGGCTAACCTCTTCCTAAGAGCAAAGAGCCTCCGCTTACTCCCACACAACTTACTGAAGGCAATTTTTCATGCTAGGAAGCAGATTCCATGCATCCGAGATCAACCCAGAACAGCAGCCGGGCCTAAAATTCTTGAAAATATCATTTTCCTTGTTTCCAACATTTTTCAGGAAAGCTAACAAGGCAGCATCTATGAGACACAAAAATCTGGCCATTGCTACGAGTCAGAACACACATCCTTTCCTCGGCAGAACATAAACGAGCACCGAAAAGGATTCTTATGGTGTAACCAGAGTAAGTTAAGGAAAAGGAAAACAAAGGCTTACCTTACTACATCATCAATGTTGTTCCGGTACACTCCTTCAAGCCTCTCCGCAGGAAAACCCATAGCAATTATGTTTGGATAAATATCTGAATATGCAAGTTAAGGAAATATTTTTACAGCATGTGAAATTTCTACAATAGCATCAAACAGATATTAATCAAATGTTTAACTGTAGCAAAGTGAGACCAACAATGCCGACCAACTCCCACATGCAAACAATTCAGCTTTATACACACAGTAATAAGAGACTTTTTCCCAAAAAAAGGGGGGGGGGTGGTGGTGTCAAATCAGGACAGTAACTTTTGAAAACACAGTACTTTGATGGCAGCTGCTGTAACAGAAACCTCCTGCCACCTCAAGCAGGTAACCTCCTAGAAGTCCACGCTCTTGGGCACCTGATGGGTAACTCCCCTAGGAAGGGAATCCATCAGAAAAGCAGACAAGGAATCCACTTCTGCCGTACATCACCTCCCTGGAATCGCACCGGCACCACACACCGGTCCTTCTCTATGGCCTGAGTGGCGTACTAAATCCAATGGGAAACCGTTAAGATAGCCTCGCGTGACTGAAGCGCATGATGCTCCAAATTAAGCCCCACGTTCCAGTCCCCAGCGATCCCAGAGGAGCTGTACCACGCAGGAGTGTGCTTCAGGCCCTGGCACGGCCTCGCAAACCCCGATGTTTTCATCGCTTCCCCTGACTGCCACGGAACAGACCCTACCACAGCCGCTACGGTAGCGCTGGGTGCCTAGATGTGAGGCACTGGGACAGATGGGAATGTACAGATCTGGCCAGGATTATGTAGCTTATTTCATAAAAAAACCAATTCCCCACCTCTGGAAAAATATTCTAGTTTCTTATGCTGAACTACCTGCAGTGCACTTGCCAAAAGCAACCCGAGATAAAGAACTCGGGAAAAGCACCTCCTAGCAAGAACAAATTAGCACCAAGGAAAAAGGCCAAGTAAGAAAACTGGAAGTTTCCATTTAGAGCTGATGCAGTAAAGAATTCACAACAAATCGCTAGAAAATTACTGGTATTTATTTTCCTGGTGGTGCAACAATATATGGATTTTATTTTTTCTTTTAAACAGAACTCAAGAAAAGAAAGTGCTCCCAAGTTTTAAATGTTATTAGAAATGATAACATCGTGAAGAAGCTTTGCTGAAAAACAAACCAGAAATGAAACCAGCAGCTCAAAACCAGACCATACCCTACCGCATTAACATACTCCTCCTCAAACTAATTTTAGAAGGAGTAAGAACAAAGCACGGCATGTTTGAAGTTGGCCTGCCTTAAACAAGGGGGCTGGAACAGGTGATTTCCAGAGGTCCCTTTCGACCTAAATTACTCCACAACCCCAAGAACTGTTTTTATTTCCCTGGTTAAAATACAACAAAGCTCCAAAGAGCAACCATCAGAAGGGAAGACGCTGCAGCAGCTTCCAAGATCTCAACATTGCAGTTGCCTGTACAGGAGGAACAGCCTGAAGCGGGACACACACTACTCCACGCCATCCTTGCAGAATTCCCGCGAGCCTAAGTACTCACAGGGAAGCAGCACGGACCAAGTTCTGCATTTACACAGCTAGCCAAAGACTTAAGAAAAACATTAAGAACTGAACACAGGGAAATAATGTTTTCTACTCTCAAAAAAAAAAAAATTAGCATTTACTGTGTTGTAACCCCAGTATTAATGGACATTGGTTTGCCTGGACTATTCAAAGATGATTTATGGAGACAATGAGAAAAATATGAAAGCTTTTGAGAAATCCAAATAAAGATCTGTAGCTGCCTTAAACATAGACACTCAAAGGGGTTCATGTCTGGTTTCCAATTTATTCTGTACTTCCCAAACCCTAAAAAAAGCTCATATTAAAAAAAAAAAAAAAAAAAAATCAAGTTGCTTAACTTTCAGAGCCTGTGATGACTTCAGCTACTATCAAATCACAGACATCTTAAACTTTGAACTTCACTCTGAACGCATTTCACTCCGCAAGCAGCCCGCACCTCTGTCAAATGAAGAAAAGGCGATGTATGATCAGCAACGTATTTACTGCTGTATCGGTTACCGCTTGCCATAAGCGGAAGAAACTGGTTAGAAATCACGGGCACTTGCTCCATGCCTACTAAGAGCGACGTACTCTCCCCCCAGGCAGCACACCCCGTGGCTCCCTCCCGGACCCAGCGCTGGCTCCGGGGAGGGGGTCCTCCTGCGCCTGCTCCGAGCAGCAGGGCTGTGCCCGCGACCGCAGCGAAGCAATCCAGCGTACCGGCCCGCTTTCCACAGCGCTGCTCCACAGGAGACAAGCATCCACGCTAGCAACAGGGGCAAAATAAACTCATTTTGACACACCGCATCAAAACAAAACTGTTTCAATGCTAGTGTCACCTGTGAGACGTATGCCCAAACTTCACCCAGTCACCACGTAACTCGCTCAAATTTCTATTCGCGACTGTGAGCTTTACTACACAATCTTCCCATGCGTTTCAGCCTGCCGTTTATGTTCAGATGCTTTTCTTCTGCTGTTGGCTGTTCCTCTCCGAGGCTAAGAAACAAGATACTTTCCAGGATTCCCAGCTGGTGCAAGATAGAAGAAAAGCAGACAGACACCCCAAGCGACGGGAACAGAACATCTTAACAGCAGCGTTTCCAGTTTGCAGGCTCACAGACTTGTCCAAACACCAAAGCCTCAACACACGCAGGCAGAGATAAAAAGTTCCAAAATAACCGGGGCGGTCTCACGCTTTTGGAAAGCGCGATCCCCTGTCGGCTCCCACACCCCATGTGACCCCTCTCCCCTCCCTCGCTCAAGGGCGATGCACGAGCGGGGCACGCATGGCTCGCATCCGCTTTCTTTCAAAGAGGAGCGAGCCAGCAGAACCCAATGCTTAAGCTCAACTGTGCATCGTTACGGGTGCATTTTAAACCCAGAGCTGGTATTGCAAAGGTGCTCCGTGGTATGCCAGCAGGGAAAGAAAATGGGAAAAAGACTTCAGGGGCGGGAGAGCACACGAACCAATTTACAGATGCTGATTCAGTAAAAGTATTGTATAGTCTGGGGTTCTTCAACCCGGCAGCACAAAAAATGCAATGTTGCTGGAAAACAAATATCTGACAGCTGTGATTGCTGCACGGGAGGGTACGGAGCCGAGCCGGTTACGGGAGCAACCGTCCACTGAGCATCACCTTCAGCAACTCTGCCACCAGCCACGCTCGACGGCTCACAGACACCGCTTCTCACACCTCACTTAACACCGATTGCCTAAGCTGAAATTAAGATACTCGCTACCAAGAGGAGGTTTTTACAAAGGAGCTTGGAAGCTGGGCTTACATTCAAAGCAAGACTTCTGAGTCACCACAAAATTGGTAATGATACTGATAATTTTAGAAATCTGGAAGAACTGATGATTTAAAACGTGCAACAAGTTCACTATCAATTCCAAGCTTTTTTTTTTTTGAAAGACAGGCAAATGAAAATGGCAAAAGCCTCAGCCACCAATTGAGGCAGCTCTACAACACAGGCAAAACAAAGCTAACCAAACCACTGTTAACTACCAAAATTTGAAATGGGCTTCCTAAAAAAAAACATAAAATAAAGCCCGCCACATTTTGCCAAAGCAGCTCTTTCCCGAGAAACCCATTCCCAGAAATGGTTTCAACAGTTTTTAAAGCACTCATTCCTTTCTCGATCTTGTAAACATGGAGGCTGGGATTTTAATTCGTGATCAGAGAAAAAAAAAAAAAAAAAGTGAGAGACTCATACACAACAGCAGAACACTGAGATGTCATCCTCTACTCGAGTTCATCCTTCCTATTAACCACAGAACTTGGGCTTTCAAATGCAGATGACACTACGCTATACCCTAGGAACCTCCAAAGTGCCCAATGATTTGCTCAGTTACCAAATGCCGCGACGCAAAAGCGATGCTTCGTCAATACTGACGACGTACCAAAGCAAGTGATCCATACGCCACTTCAGAAACGCCTTTGCTCTAATGCTGCTCGTGGATTTAACAAAACGCTGTTCTTAAAGCCTAAAATCGTTCCCACATGCTAAAGATGATAGTCCTTCCAGTTGCTATGAGAAAAATCCTGTATCATTATGTAAATCAGCAGTTATAATCACTTTCAAAAATAGCTGTCTATATATTCGCATTATGCCAAGATCAAATTAAAGAATATGCAGTATACACTTGAAATTTTACATACATATACATGTAGATATAAAACCAAATTACTCCTGTTGGTCCTAGAACTGATTCCGCTTGCAAATTCAGCCTTTTTCCTAATAATGGAAAGTGGCCAGAAAAGCATACCACGTTATTTACCAATTCTTACGTTCTTAAACAGCCCCAAGCAAGCTGCAAAAATAGGCAGCTATAGCCTTTCCTGCAGCGACCAACATACTCAATTAACACCTAGATCGTAAGTCATCAGAATTTCTAGGTAATTTTATGAAGTCCTATTTCAAACGAAGTATTTAATCCCTTATCCTCGCTCCGCAAAAGGAAGTCAGCTGTAACAGAAAAACAGAAAGCAAATGACCTAATCTTCCTATTTTATAAGCATGCTAGAGCATGCAGTGCTGGAGAATTTACATACAGCTTTACTTTTTAAACCCAATGCTGACAACGGGTTTTTAAAGCAAAACGCAGATAAAAAAGAACTTTAGAACTATTAGCCCTTTACAATCAAAGGCCTCAGGAAGACCTACCATGCATTAGGCTTCGTCTTTCTTTAAAATGGAAATTTAAAACAGGCTGAAGGTTCCTGAAGCTGTGAATGATGGTCACTGTAAAGTCATGCTTCGGAGCTAACATTCCTACGGCAAAACCTGAACCTGACCCCTGCAAATAGAAGGGCACCAGTCCATCTTTCCCAGCTTCCAAACATGAATCTTACTTAACAAAGAACAGATCTAAGCTGGTGAATCTTTGGCCTGGAAAAAGCGTCACAACTGCCAGGAATGCAGATTTTCACGTCCCGTTGAGGCAAGCAAGGCGAGTACTGGCTTTAACCCGCCCCTCAAGAGCCCACTCCTCACTCGCGCGCGGGCTGCTGTCAGTTGTGCTCCGCTACGCGTCACCCGCCACCTCCCTGGCTGCGGGGAGCACCAGCGCAAGGGAAACCAGCCTCTAGCACGGGGTGGCCAAGCTGTCAACTGCTACATCCCATCTGATAGCGACACCGAAGCGCAGAGGAACAACACGACTTTGAAGTCTCCGAAAGTAGCTTTGTTGTCTCAATTTGTCTGCAATTTTCAGGAACTCTGACTTCAGTAACCATGCAACGTGGTCTAGCGGCGCATCTGGCCCTACCAGCTGTGAAATGTTAGCATGCTAACCTCAAGCCCTTTAATTCCAGCTTAAACAAGTCCGTATAGCAATGGCAAGAAAAAAAAAAAGAACGGTTCTTGCTGTTCGACAGCTTGACAGCCTGAAGCTACGGGGGGAGTGTTACGAGAAGTGTCCGCACTCCATCCTCAAACAGATTTAAAAGTCCTGACAAATGGCCAAGCTCTTATTAGTGCCATTTTCTTGACAGCATCCCTAAAAAAAAAAAAAAAAAAAAAAAAAAACAAAACCCAAACCACAGGGAAATATACCCAACCAAATCTTGAAAAGTTCCCTAGCACACGTGCTGTTTAGCCTGTACACACGCATACCTTTTGGGGTTTTTTTAAATAGGCAGCATTTCCATTAGCCAGCACGAAACGCAAAATAAGTCTGGATAATCAGGAAGTATAGAGGAAATGAACAGGAAGAAAGTTCTTCAGAGCAAAGGAGGATTCCTTGTAGCCAGCCAGCTGCACTTGCCAACTCTACCATCTGTGCCTTAAAGAACAAGAAAAGAGACCAACTCAGATGTGGCTGAGAGAAACATTTTATGATTTAGAAGAAATGCATTTAACCCCTTAATGCTCAAGATTTCAACTACAACCCCCCCCCTTTTTTTAATACTTTTAAATCTTTCAGCTTGTAATTGAAACACAGCAACCTAGACAAGGAACAACGAAATGGCAGCTCCGCTGTATCTGGGAGGCAAACCTGTCCAGATGGGGTCATGGGGCTGACAACAGGTCTGGAAGGGAACTCAAATTCCCGCAGAAGTAAATCAGAAGATGCTTGAAAGATGACACTGACGGGTTGTCTCGGGAACTAGCTACTTCCTCAACTCACTTCCACACCATAGCAGGGCTTTTGGACCTGCTTACTATATTGCATCTGGGAAGTATTCCCAGAGCAAGGGTCTCCCTTCACCTGTGAGAGGTCTGTGAAATGTGTCCTGGAGCTCTCGGCCATCTGGAGGCTTTGCTGAACAGCTAATAGGATCAAGATTGGAAAAAAACCCACACATAATCTACACAAGAAGCAGGCACCGTGGGTTTTTTTTGTTTTTTCCAAAGCACCGTATCAACCTCACAAACCTCACAGCCTAAATACAAAAAACAGCAGCAGAGAAGCACAGAAGAGGAGAGGCCTACTCCACAGGAGAGCTTGTTCTGACAGACTGAGAAAAAGATCCCTGAAACTTCCATTTCAACATGGTTTGGAATCACAAATAAAGACAGGAAAGCAAGCAGATAGCAGAGAGAACATGAGCTGCTTGTGAAGAGCTGCAAATCCCTCTAAAATAGCTGATGATATTACAGGACAAAAAAGCTATCCCTCCCATTAAGAAAAAGCCAAGAGCAAACAGGAGCATAACAAGCGAAGCAAGAGCACCCTGTGTTATTCATCTAAAACTCGACAGGAAAAACTCTTCAGCTGAGGAGCCAAAGGCTGGGCCTCAACTCCTCACTCAACTTTAAGTCCAGGTTTGCAGCACTGGACAAAACCCTACAAATCCCAACAAGTTTCTGGAGGTGAAAACATGCAGAGGTCCAGATATGAAGGCTTTATTGTTTCTGCTCAGGCTTTGGAAGAAGCCGCATCCCATCTTATCACACCTACCCCGGCATCCAAACCAGACGCCAGCAGCCCGAGGCCAAGAGCTGCGCCGGTGCCAGAGGACAACCGTAGGTGCGAGGCTGAGCCGCTGTCCTCCAGGCCACACATCTGCTGCGCGCATCTTCCCAGCAGAAGGCAGCGTGCAAGAGAAGCTTGGCTGCCGCACAACGGTCGGAGAGTTCCCAAGTGACGAATTCCCCTACTTTAAGGGACGAACTCAATTCAACATGAAGGCTCTCGCGGCAGAGGTCGGGACCCCCCTGGTACGCGTTCTCAGCACACTACCACGCTTCGCAAGATCTCCTTTAAAGAAGCACCGGCGTGTACTTAAGCATACCCTAACCTCAGGCACCCACAGAAAAATACAAGAATTTTGTTCAGTAAAAAGAAGCCAGCACAGAGAGTCGCTACTTTGATATTTACTGACAGGAAGTAAAAAATGGCTGTCTCAACTTTTTGCAAGTCTGAAAGGACATCCAAAACTTTCAGAGACAACGGCATTTAAACAGCTATCGGGACGGAGGACAAATGTGTCATGCTAAAAAGATTTATAAAACATAAGCTGCACAAACTAGGATTCGTATGAATTTATCAAACCTTAATTTGGGGGTGGTGATCCAAGAGAAGATAAAGGCCAGCAGCAAAACAAGACCCGAGGCCACCCTAATGAACCACTTCTCAACCATCGAGCCCCAAGCAGGTAACACTAATTTCATTCTAATGACATCTAGCGCTTCCCTCCTCTAAATGTTAGTACAACAAAAGGACATTACCTCTTTAGCTCACCCACACAGGAAAGTAAAGAATAGAAAATACACAACTACTTCAATTCTAGCCCTATACACACGCAGGCAACGCAATGAATTAAGCAGAGGCCTCTAAGAAAATTAATCATGCAATTAAAAGCTATTATTCTACAGCTCCACAAAGGCAGAATAAGTTTATAAAGACATT